TTTAAGTTCCGGACACATGGTATACACTGTCCCAATACCTAGCGAGCAAATATTCCTGTAATAAGAGACTGTGCCATCTCGACTGACTGGTCAGTCAATGCGGTTGAATCGATCGAAGACGAATGGAATAAGTTTAAGGCTATATTCGAGTACGTGGCATCACCGTTTATATCATGGTCAACTGGTAAGCTATCATGTAACCCTCCATTGATTTATGAGGAAACCCAAAAGCTGTTGAATCGTAGGAAACCCTTATGAGACTTATTCTTATCAACAGGATACGGATCATTCAAGTGTGAGTATAAAAAATCCGGGATATATGTAAAAAGATCATAGATAGGTGCCGTATTATTTACTAAAGACACATGGAATATGGTAGCCGTACTTCTCCGAAATGATTGTCTTACTATGTTAAACGTAGAACAAAATACTGTGAGGGTATCCCCCCATTACTGTTATACAAAAATTCCGGCTTACTAGCTGAGAATTTATTAAACTATTTTGGCGAAGTCTACTCAACATATACTGCTAAAATCACCTGTCCTAATTACGCCGAGATACCAGACACAGGACCTGTACTTGTTACTGAGGAAACTGCTTTCCGTTGATCACTAGCTTCAAACTTTGTAGAATACCGAACGCTGATGGGTTACATCCACGGCTGCTGTCATCTTTTATGGACATTATTTCAAGACCACTCTCAACGCTCTTCAATATGTCCGCTTCACTTGCTCAACACCCAAGAGATGCCATGATCGGTCTTATATTTAAGGATGGACAGAGACACATCGTATCTAAATGCCGGCCTGTCAGTCTAATCAACACAGCCGTTAAGTTACTTAAAAAGATAATTCGGGTTAAGGTACTAAATCACATAGATTCATACAATCTGTTAACTCCCGAGCAACACGGGTTTCGGAATAAACATTCATGTTTGAACAGCAAGCACCATCTTTGGTCCTCTACCTTTCCTTCCCTACGTTAATGAATTGCCGCTATTGACTAGATCGCTAACATTATTGTTTGAGGATGATGTCGAAATCTGTAGAACATTAGGAATTGAGACTGGTCATTATGGCATTCGAGCTGACTTGAACGAATTAATTAGAAAAGCTCGATTTAGGGGCTTAGAAGTTAATTCTAGGAAGGGTGTGCTCTTGCTGATCGGACACGCAAACAGTTACCACTATAAAATTTATGGTACATCTTTTCCTCGCGTGCAGTAACATAAGAAATTAGAGATAATGGTAAGTTTCGACTTAAAAGCAACTACTCATTGAAACGCAGCAGTTGCCAAATGGTTTCGAGTGTTATGGTCACTTAGCCGCGAACTCAAATGCTTTGACAAACAGATGTTTCAAATTTTGTATACCACCTATGTAGGACCACACTTATAGTACTGTATCCAAGCAGTTGGCCCATGCTTTATTAGGGATACAAACCCACTTAAGCGTGTTCAGCGTACGGGAACAAAATTGGTGAAGGGTCTTTCTAAACTCCCTTGCGATGAGAGCTTAAAATGCCTAAACATTTTCCCTTTGTCGTATTGTAGGACGAGAGGTGACCATATATTGGCACTTCGTATCCTTAATTACGATTTGGGTGTTAAAATGTCTTATCGTTATGCTCCTTCCAGCACAATAATCTCCGACGTCATAGCAAGAAGGTTCACAAACGGCGATCTAATAAACTTATGGTGGGTTTCCGTATTTCTCATCAGGCGGTCAATGACTGGGACGCCTTGACCGAACAGGTGGTATCAGCCCCATCAGTGAACATTTTAAAGGAGAAGCTAGACCTACACTGGAAGGCATACTGTTAGGATTCACACAGGTCCGCCAACCTACTCTCCTTATTACTGAAGAAATGAAACTTACCACGCACTGATATAAAAAGTAAAAACAAATAGTGCAGAACTGGTAAACTGTATTTTAAGCATAAGAGACCCCTTCAATTAACTTAAGATTGTACAATACATGCGTATAAGCGGAACTAAATTGTTTATCTAACTTAGCGAAATAACTTCTGTCCTCACATAGCAACACACAGTTTTGAATAGTGTGCAAGTATGAGTAAGATAAAGTATGCAACAGACGTGGAGAAATCAGTCATAACAAGTAATTTTGAAGCGCGTGGCTGGACAGTTGTGCATCCTGATGAGGACTGGAATATTTTTTGGGCTTCTGTTCAAAGCATACGCATGCTCTTTAGCAATGAAGCATCATATAGATTATCAGATAACCAGGTTTCAACGATAAATAAATTGCGCTAACTAATTCAGATTGTAAACCACTTCCCAAACCATTTTGAACTTACCAGAAAAGATCTAATGGTCAGAAATATTAAAAGGTACAGACGCGAATTGCAGAAGGAGGGAAACCCGTTGGCTGTAAAAGATGATACTGGAAGGTATTTCTTCTTGGATTTTATACCGGTCACCTACATGCTGCCACAGGATTATAACCTGTTCGCAGAAGAGTTTAAACGCAACCCCTCTTCTACATGGATAATGAAGCCTAGTGGGAAAGCCCGTGGAGTCGGTATTTTCCTGATTAATAAACTCTCTCAACTTAAGCGATGGTCTAGAGATGGGAAATCTGGTTTAATTGGTGCAACACCGGCTTGTAGGGATTCTTACGTTATATCAAGGTATATCGAGAACCCACTATTAATTGGAGGCAAAAAGTTTGACCTGCGCCTTTATGTCCTTGTTACTTCGTTCAGACCTCTCAAGACATACGTGTATAAGCTAGGGTTCTGCAGGTTTTGCACGGTTAGGTATAATTCGGATGTCAGTGAGCTAGATAATATGTTTGTTCACCTGACGAACGTTTCAATACAAAAGCATGGAATTCATTATAACAGTATTCATGGTGGTAAATGGACAACAGAGAATTTCCGCTTATGGTTGCAGGGAACGAAAGGAAAACCCGTCTCCGACAAGCTATTTGATGAGATCCATTGGATAATAGTACATTCTCTGAAAGCAGTCGCAAATGTGATGATAAACGACAGACACTGCTTTGAATGTTATGGTTACGATATCATAATTGACGACAATTTTAAGCCATGGCTTGTGGAGGTAAATGCATCTCCGTCACTGTCGGCTACAACGGCTAGTGACCGTATTTTAAAATACAAGTTAGTAAACGACGTTATTAATATCGTTGTACCCAACGGAACAGTTCCAGACGTCAAATCTAATAGAAATGTCACTAAGGAACAAATGGGACAGTTTGACTTACTTTACGACGAGGAAAGGGCATTAGAAGAATCATTTGCAGCTACGAATGCTCAACCACAAAAACAACATTCAAGTTCCTCTGGGAACATCCCCAGTAATTCTTCTCAAAATGGACTAAGAACAAAACGTGAAAGTCGAGTGAGCATACAAAGAGGTTCTTCTACTAAGTGAGCTGTAATAAAAGTAGTATGTGTACTAAGCTGAGTTTTATATCCTCCCTTATTAATTGACACACTACTATTGGTTTCCAACTTCAAAACATCAAAAGAAACCTAAGGATTCAAAACAACCCTTATAGAACTGAAATTATACCATGGATTTTTACTGCTAAGGTTAAACTCGTCCAGATAAAGTTGATATGGATCTGGAAATTCATCTATAGTAAATCGCTACCGCACAATAAAACTGTTAGAATACTAAAATCACTTAATTCCAGAACTAAGAAATGTTTATTTATTGCGAACTAGTAAACAGGTCACAACCTCCAATTTCAGAAATTAATGAAACTTGTCAGGTAGTGTACTATCGTACATTTGAAGTCAGGGTTACACATTGCAGAGAACAGAAAATTGACTTCAAAAGGCGATCTGTCATAATGAAGACGTTGACTCAAAAACTTAATTAGGTAAATTATTGGGAAGTTCCAAAACACTAAACAAGTACCTCTTTTTGAATTCCAAATGTGAGGTAAACTAAATTCAAATAATTGAACAAGGATGTATTGGTTTTATGTAATATTTGAAGAAATACTATGAAGACTGTCTTGAACTGAGAGGTTTAAGCTCATTTATAAACCACTTTGAAACACGATAAAGAATAACAAATTAGTTACGTATGTAAAATACGTGTGCTTAGTATTTAATACGGTAGGTCTAAATAATACTCCCTGTAAAACATAGATTGGTCCACTAAATAAATAAATCTAGTAATCAAAAAACTTCCTACATATAAATAATACCAATAAAAGTATATCTTAGACATCTGGTAGTAACGCTTAAGCATCTGTATCAATAAAGTCACAATGTTACTCTAAAGATAATAGGGACATCATGTATTCAATCCCATACAACGTCCATAGGAGTATATACCTAGATAGGTGAGATATATGTATAGGAATGGAGGATACAGTAAGCATTCACATCTACTACCTTCAGTCGTGTAACAATCATGAACCACTCCCGCTCTAGTGCGAGGCAAATTACGTATGTACAACTGTATTCCCAATGTTGGTACATTTTTAAGTCAGTCACTACCACCAGTATTACTTCTAGTTATTTGACAGTCTGAGGTTCGACTTCCCTCAAAGTTTCTGTCAATATGGGAGGACTGTTGAAATATTTGGTGGTCAAGTAACACGTGACTTATCACGTTTTTAATTCTCAATAATAGAGACTAGACCGAAATATTAATGCTGTGAAACTTTTTTACGGATACAAACATGGTTTTTCTGCCTTTATCATTTTCATTTAAACGCATTGTGATATTTAAATACTTAGGGTTTATTCAACCTCAATCGAATAAAAATATATAACGGAGGCAATGCGAGCTATCGGCCTGAGTCTGTGAGTACAAACGTTCATTCGAGTTTGCAGAAAAGTCCTCTCGATGAGCACCAATAAATAGAAATACGACAATCAATACAGCAATCCTCCTTAGTCGTATAAAGAACCGAACTAAACCAGCTAATCCGTGCTAAAATCCTGGAGTACGAAAAGCACCAAAGGGTTATATACAATAAAAGTATTTACTATGTCTTGACTAATAATAACTTTAATCTATGATGTCATAACTAAATAAAATTCTCGGAAATATAATGGGAAAATCAAAGGGTTTTGCGACTTATAATAACTTAGAAAGACAAATGATTATTCCATAGAATTTCATGACAGACAATAAAAGTGTAACGAATGTCGAGTGGATTACAATGAACGGGGTAAAAATGCATACAAAGTTAGTTTTGCCACCTTTTAGTAGCTTTAAAGGCTGGTCCATGACCTGGAACAATGTAGTCAAAGTTATCGATAATGAATTTTCTGTTTTTTTGTTGAATTCTTACATCGTTACTAGATGAATGCCACAAAGATGGATCAATAATATCTTGCTCACATTCAAACAAGTCACCCACTAAGGCAACACGACCGAATTGGTCAATATCCTCCACAATGACTGATATGTCTGACAAAGTGTGCCCAGGTGTAGATATTATGTGAATCAAGGAGTCGATCTCATAAGGCGTTTTGAGAATACTGAAGCAATCTTTAAGACCTTGAACTTCGAAATTCTCGCCCACAATCCGAGTAGAGTTTGGGAATATATGTAAGCTTCCAATATGATCGACGTGATCGTGTGTACAAACAACAAAATCAATATCATAAGGATTTACTCCACGAGATGAGAGCTGAGAAAGAAGCCACTGCGAATCCCATGGGCTACCAGGATCAACAAGAATCAATTTAGGTCCTCTTAGTAATGATATCGTACATGCAGAACTAAAGTAGTGATCTGAAATACGCCTTGTCCACCCAATACGAATAAAGTCAATCGAGTATTTCATTGAATATGTGATGAATATAGACAGATGACTGCAATTCGCCTTATTCAATCTGATGTATTAGCTGAAAGTCAAAGGATAAAGAAACGTCTACTGTAATGGTATTTATTATATGTGTTTACAATAAAGAAAATACATTATGCCAAAGAATGATTAACGGATGCTTAGTTGCATTGATTAAAAATTTTACTTGGGAAGTTAATAACTATGCAAACATTGAGATGACACAGCAAACAAAATACATGTTAACAGTGGTCCTGTCTGTCAAACATGTTCACTAAAGTTTTGTGGAGGTTAATATGCATTATAAACTCAACGAAAGCGAAAGAATGAACGAGTTTGATACGAAAGAAGAGAATACGGCACTTAAAAACAAATACTTGATAGCAACTCATGAATGAAGCAAAAAAGAAAGTAGAATAACTGTCATTAGATTTGTTTTTGTTTAAGATTATGTTAACAACAAACGAATTACCTAACCTTAGGAGCGATTAACTAATATCACTTCTACATACATTTCGTCTACACGGACAGCTCATCTCAATATATTACACTTACCATTTTTAATTCTTATTCTATGCGGCGACGATGAATATGCATCACTGATAGACATCAATAAGATAGCTAGAGTAAAACACGTCTACGCCTTAACATCCGACAGGTAAGAATTTAGTTGATACTTCCATTAAAATCTGTAAGCCATTGGTTATTCTAGCTGTTAGAAAACACAGAATTTATACACACTATTTACACTTTTATGAGTAGTCGTAACGACCAAAACCATGAATTGACTTAGTTATGTTCATCTTTCTCATAATCACGTCGACTATAATTAACATATTGACTCAAGGTGGACGATAACTTATTACGTATAGCTAGGGAAACTCAACCGAGGTTTAAAGCCTCGTGAAACGACTCACTACATATAACAGCTATTTAAAACCTGGCAATTGTATTGAAGGTTGCATAGTTCGGCTATTTACAAACAGTAATCAAAAGGTACGTACGATCAAAGACCTAAGATGTATAAATGTCATATTATACACGCGGAATTAGAAAAACAAATCCCAAAGATCCTTAAGTTTTAACTCAGTTTTTTGGAATCCTTCATGTCCTTTCTATGCCTTCAATGAGATTTACTGCGTCGTTTGTGTACTTTGGGTCGGCCAGAGAACACCCAAGGCAAAAGCTTAACTCGGAAAGTCGAATAGAGGTAAGTCTGTGCCTGTTAAATTGTTGACCAATGGTGGTTAACACTATTGGTAGATATAACACCCTATAATTACTTCAGTTATCAACACTCCACATACTATTGAGAATTATATGAATAAGAATAGTGTCGTTAGACATATAGTATATTTACTTCCGAATTTATGTGCTAGACACTAGCATGTAGTCAGATGGGATGGGAAATTTGTGAAGTCTGCAAACGGTGGCTTAGTGGTTAAGGCGTTTAATTCTTAGTCCTATGTTCAAACTCTGCTCTGGGCAACCTAGTAGTATCATTAACACACACTCCAAATGTGGATCATACTTAATTACCTGATGAATGAGTCAATCTGATTAAAAAGAATTTACTAAACTTACTACTGTTTTTTGTTCTAGAATCAAGAAAAATAGGATCGATGAATCTTTAGTAATGCCAGAAACTTTCTTGCTTTCATGAACTTGTCGTCACAGACCTTCGGTTCTGCACGGCTTTTAATCGAATTGATTTTGGGCTCACTGGGGGACAAATCATCGTCTTCATTATGAAGAACAATAATCGAAAATAATCCGTAAGAATTATTCTGAAGTGCCGTATCACAACAGATACCTCAGCTAGTCAACCTAGTTATTTTTGATGGCTATATTTGAATCATAAAATCCAAACCCCTAAGTTATGCCACTTCACTGTTTCAGGTCTTTCACGGCCTCAAATAGTTTTATAAACGTTAGTGAAGAAACTTTAATGTCCTAATCGTATTTCAGCCAGATCATGCGTGACAGAAGCATTGGATTACATTGGTCGAAGTGTCCCTTGGAATGTTCCAAATAGGATTCCAGTTTACAATTGAACTATTTCCTTCATCAATAGTCCAACCAACACATCACAGACAGGGACTTTTTCAGATCAAAATTAATTGCAACTATTACAGCAAGCGAATTTGAAATTTTATCTGGAATATTAAAGGCTTGGTCGTTTGTTCGCTAAACGAAACACAAACCAGTCCCACATAGTGAACGGTGTGAGATGAAGAAAAACGATTTTTTATATGAAAATGCGTGTATCCAACATGTATTGAGTTCCCAATATATCAATAATATCCACTAAAAATCTGCCATAATTGCTTGCCGCAATGAGTGATAGTAAAGAAATAAGAAGTGTCACTTGGTACTTCTCTCTTCTTATTACCACTATTAATTTATCTTCATGAGTAACCCCTATTAGCATTCTCACAACTATACGGCAGCGATCTTATGGCAACGAGATGAAATAGTTCCTTTAATAAACAGGAAATGGTAAAAGTAGAAATTTTATTCATTTAGTTTCAGGATAACGTATTTTATAACTTATTTATACTCGGCAAAGTATAAACAGATACAGCAAAGTAAAACAAACGCGAAGCGGTCCCACCAATTGAGATTATAGCACAGAAAAAATACAACTAAAATGGGAAGACGATACAATGAGTAGGGATATGGGTTTTCTGAAGATTTATGTGTGGTCAGAAATTTTTAAGTATATTTCTAAATACTAGTTTATTTAACTTATTGTAATGAGTGAAAAACAAACCGTAGTTCATGATTATTCGAATTTATCAGGAACGTCGACAAGGCATTCCATTATAAGGCTTTAAGTAAGGATGAAATATGTAATGTTTGTGATATTTTACATAAAGAAAATTCATCTACTTGTTTTCATACATAACTGGATCCAAACTCTTGTTGTAAGCTAAGGTTTTGTCAAACTTCATTGAACCAATCATAATGTTTGAATTTCATCACATTTTGAAACTAGAATACATATACCTCCAAAATCCTAGTCATTAAATAAGGCAGTAAGATAAAGTTGCATTAAGGAAAACAGAGACACTAGTATTCCAAATTGATTTTCGTAATTTTTTAGCAGTGGACTGCTACGAAAAGTTAATGCAATACAATAAACGATAGAAGCATAATTTACTGATTACATTTACATTCACTTTAATAAAGTAGTTAGATTTTTGCGTATACATTATGTTCAGGTCAAAATCCTTTAATTGCAAGAGCATCCACAAGTGCACAATATCAAGCTTGAATCCTACAAACAGTATCCAACGGTCTCCGTTTCAAATCATGTGAACTAATAGCTGGTAAGCACACCTACATAACTTTCTGCAAAACTCAGCTTTTAGTTGATCTACTCTACGAGGAACAATGTTGAAGATTACAGTGGGTAACCTTGACGACGTTAATCGTGCCAACATTTACCAGTTTCTAAGTAGGTCCCTGAAAAATGGGAACAAGGACTCTGCCATTCCAAGTGTAAAAACGTGTTACTCTGAGACAGATCTCCAAGAAATACTAGTTCACCATTACTAGTCAACAAGCGTGGAAGCTTGAAATCTATATGGCTTGATAGTCTTTATCTCGAGTATAGTCAGTGACAAGCTGTTTATAGTTGTAACAGCTTCAAGTGTAGTGAATTCAGCTAGTTGCCTGCAGTCATTATTTGATGAATTTTCTTGGCGGATTTATAATTCGTACCAGAATACCTGATCTGTAAGGACCAGCTCTTGCGATGTTAATAGAAGGTTAGTGCATTCATTGAATGGGACTGAGATAAAAGAAATACAAGTCGTCAAAACTATCTGTATTTTTGTGACAGAAAGATGTTGGGAGTATAATAAACGGGCAATTTATAATGCTAGAGAAGAATTAAGATAGCCCAGTTAGTAACGGACTAACCTATCCATTCACTTTCTTTTCAATAAATGGAAACCAGTTTGTAATTATGTTAATTATTCTTAATAGAGAACTTATACAACAGTTCGGTAGGCATGGTTAATGTAACGCAACATAAGCAACAATCCAAGAGTTATCAAGCTAGCAGAGCAATTAACAGCGCGTCATGATAGAGAAAATACGGAAAAATTTGAAATAACACTAGCCAATTGTTAGACGAGAATGAGGCAAGGTTATCAATGAAGTAAAACCCTTTAAAACTCTAAAATAAGATACCTATTACAACTACCATATGATATGCCATGTGCATTCGATCAGAAGTGCAACGATGACATTTTGTATGTGAGCAAACGAAAAAATCAAGTAACCGGGATTCAAATAAGGAAGCGTACAATATCAGCAATACAGCTATAAGGAGTTCTGCGTAATAAGTGGGATAAAATACCGGACATGTATGATAAAACTATCAAGTAACATAGGTGGGACATAAAAATCATCAATACAATTGCAACCAGTTGCATATCCATGAATATAACCCACGTGGTCATGAGCAACTGATGAACTGACTAATGACAACCATAGTGCGCTTGACCAGGTTATATTTGATATAATTAAGAGCTGAGACACTGAGTGTGGTGCTAAGTTAAATAGTTCGAACAGATCCATTTAATAAACTTATAAAGCTATGAAATGTAATAATGCGCCTATCAGTATTATAACACTGATGGATGTTTAACGTATAAACAGTTCGACAGACAAAAACACCTTGCCACTAAACACTGACATGGATGTGGCCGAGATGCAGGCTGGAAGTAGCCACGTCTAATATCCCAAATTTTGGTTGTTCGACAGTGTTACCTCGCCGATTGCCAAGTAGGTTTCCTCACCTTGTAGATGTTAATGAAGTAGTTCGACATAATTAGATACGTCACCATCAACGTTCGAATCTAGGCGTGTAGGCAATGCGTTAGCAGCCAAGTAAATCACCTGTACGATCAAGTGAAGTTTTTCAGATTTGATAGACTGCATACTGTGCTGCAGAACATATCGTCGGGAATTTCTGACCTGAGTTTAAATATGAAGCAGCTACTGTCGGAGTTCGGTTAGCGCGAACATCCTCGGAAATTCGATTGTGGACTATCAAGTCAACAGTTCCCTTTGTCATCTGAGGAGGAACTAGGGACGTTGGACGCGTACCTATAACAGAAAGAAGTAAGGGACAGATTTGTAAGTCATCAACATTAATTTGATCATTTGTTCTTATTACAGATGGCCAAGTTGACGCAGTTAATGGATGATAATCCTAAAACGTCAATGCGATATATTTTATCGCACATCATGACATCCGAAGTTGCCAGTCATTTCACGCTACTTGACACTTCAGAAGTGCAAGTTTTACGGCTGCATAAAAAGTAATATATATACTTCAGGTACATTAAGTAATCGGTTCCTGTCATCATCTGTCAACGACATCGCGACTCAAGGTTATTTTCACGGCATGTGAGATAAATTACAAGAGTTATCGAAGAGCACAGGAACATGTATCTGCTAATTCGAAGTGACAACTGTTCTCTACTATTCTATAGGTACAGTCTTCAGTGTTAACCAACATAACCATAAGTAAAGCTTCACGTAGCTAGTTATGTAAAAAAATTGTCATTTGCGTATCGTTGTGACTTCTCCAAATTTCAGAATTCACAAGATCGTTTTGATTCCCAATAGTCGAACAGGCGTTACGAATAGGAATAACCAGTGGAATATTTTAATGTTTAACTTCGTTCTCAATGAGCATCATTTAAATCATACTCTTACTCTCTCACTTACATGGAAAACCCTTTGACTCAGTGTTGAGAAAGCCTGTTTGGATTTAAATGCACCTGCGATTTAGTACACGTGCCTTATTAATAATGCATCAGCTGTTCTTTCTTTACAGATTTCTCCAAGTTGTTCTAAGACTTGGCAATTAAAATTAACATACATAACCCAAGCTCCCAATTTTGGGGAAACGGCACAAAAACCTCAAAACTCCCCCTTAACCTTGGTCAAGGTCATTTGACATTGGGGATTTCCCCAAACTTTGGTGAAGGTCATTTGACTTCGGGAGTTTCCCCAAAATTGGAAGCTCGTTAACGATCGATGCTCTAGCATCTGCTAACTACTCCTAATTTTGTACAATATGACGTACGTTGTATTATTATTTAGGCACGTGTACTAAATTGCCAGTGCATTCAAATTAAAACAGGCTTTCTCAACACTTAGTCAAAGAGTTTCCCATACAGTTGTATGGGAAACTCTTAAGTAAGTAAGAGCATCAGCGAATCACATCTTGAATATCAGCCAAACCGTGTACATTATTTAACTGAGCCTTTGCTTTTGACCGTAAGCCTTCTCAAACTACTTAGTACTGTGACTCATTTCCGGTCAGTGATATATTTTACCGACTGTTACGAAGCATTTTGAAGTAGCGGTTATTACTCAAACGGTCAAATACTTGTAAACGGAATAAAAGAAGCTTTCGCTTACTGCGCTTCCAATGTCGCAAACTTTTGCATTTGATTCTTACGGTATCTGTTTGCTTCCGCGTATTCGGTAATATCCAACTAGTGATAATCTGATTATTCCACTGCACCAACTCTAGTCAGTTTCATATATATTTGTGAAATTTTATATCTTGTTATTCGAGTGGGTGAGTCTGTTTCAAAAAAGTAGGGTTTCTATATATCAGGAACTATCAAATTACCAACCAGGAGGTTGGTTGCTTGTATTGTGAAAAATAATGAAATGAAAGTTCACGTGATACGAGAAGACGATTGTTTCAGGAAAGAAATAGGTAAGTTAATTAGTGAGTAATACAGGCAGTGTGACAAGGCAGAAGCGAAGAAATGAAAGCGGAGAGTGAGATGATAATAAACGAGACGGGAACTAATTACTGACACTGGATACATGTAGCAGCAGGTAGCTTATGAGATATTAATCAGGCACACCTAGTTCAAGTGAGAGGTGTAAGTTCTTAAATGACTGTGAGTTTATCAGGTATCCTCTTGAAGATGTGTACTGAGAGGTATATGGTCACTCTGGCTAGGAGGGCTTTTCAAATGGAGGAAACTCTCAGTAAGAAAAAGTGAGAGCCTTCATGGTTGTTCACTCTTAGATGCGCAGTCTTTCCAGGGTTGTCTCAAGGAGCCTAGTGATGATGTAATACGCTCTCGACAGGGTAGTTGTGGGTAACTAATAAGTTGTATACCATTATCAAATCACCTCTTATTCCCCTGTAGCTTGGCGACAATGATCCCAGGTGTTGGAGTATATCCCCGTAAGATTTATGTTTTAGGCCTATCACCCAATTGATTGCCTATCTCTGTATTTGGTTTAAAAAGTTTATGTCTCTTATAAAGGGAGGGAGCGCGACGACATTTTGGAATTCAAAATGAGGCTGTGAGTGTTTTAAACAGTGCTAGAGACAATTTTGAGGTGACTGCAGCAATTTTTCTTTGCAAAATTGTATAGTTATGTTTACTTTTGCTGTATCTTTTACGTAGTTTGAGACGTCTTTTAAGCTTTCTGTGGTTACTAGCTCGCTATCGCGTTCTAACTTGGCAGTCGTGAGAGGATTTTCATAGAGAACGTTATTTGTCTGTGTCCTTATATCAGAATCTCTATGACATGATATTTCAACAGGTGAAGTTTTAAGTAATAACCTATCACCCATTACGTTAGTGTTGTAAGGTCCTTTTGAAGTTCAAGTGAATCGTTTTAGCTTATTATGGACTTCCAAATCCTCGCGTCATCTTCACAGGCCTGTGCCACTCGATTTGTTTTATCTAGAATGTCATCAATAAAGATCGAGCATAGAAGTGGACCTGTGATGGTCCTCGATGGAACTCCTGATGTTCGAGACTCGTCAGCTTGCATGCATTCTATTTATCTTGATGTGATACATCCTGTTCCCTATATGGTTTTGGAGTCAAGGTAAAACTGGGTCAATGAAACCTGTCTTTGTACCCTCCCCTATGAAGAGTAGGTTTCGTACTGTGTCATGGGGTTTTGCAATGTCCAGGAATATTACATGAACAGGTTTTTTGAACCCTAGCAGGTGATTCAGCTGCCTTATACTTTGAGGAGATTGACTTGACTTTCTCAAACCTGTGTCGGGCTTCATGGGGACTGCTGTTTCAATCCATGTGTTTCCTTGTCCTTTCGTTTATCAGAACTTCCATTACATTCGAATCTTTCAGAGAGACTTGCCACTTGTGCTAGGCTCTCCTTTGGTCCCGAAGCAAACGTCCTGTGTTTCGTTCAACCCAGAATCACTCTCCAGGTGTGTTTTGTCTGTGGTACATTGTGTAAAATAGCATTCTGAACCATATTCTACGCTATCTTCCAGCAGTCATACACTGTTTGCCGACACCATTCTAATAGTCATGAAGAGAGTTAAAGACGCAGCCCCATAATGGTGTAGTGTGCTAAGATGTGAAGGGAGCGTCTTCGTCGCTCTGGAGCATCTCTTTCGTGACCACATGAATCGTGACTGTACCATCGTCACTCCCACTAGAAACTAGTGATTTATTACCAAATAGTCTAAGTTTAGTGGTTTTCCATTCTGGTCACATCTCATGGCATCACCCAAATGTCTAGCCAGTTCTGAACTTTTGGTGGCCTTGGCCAGTCACTTATAGAATCACCCTGTGGGGATTGTATTCAGCCCTATGAGACTTAGGTATGTAGTGTTGAAGTCTCGAGCTGGTAGTATTTAACTAGCCCCTGAGTATGCTAACCATAGTACAGCCTGTATTATCTCATCTTTTTTTGTGTTAGAACCGGTGTTGGGAACCGGTGTATTACTCCAATCAAGTACTTTTCGCCTTTCACATGAAAATATTCCCAGCATGATTCTGTCACTCAGTGAACTCGGTACGATGTGGTGTTGCGGGTTCTAATCCACTGTTCATATTTATCGCGACCTACTGTTCTGTGTACCCTATCGCATCTGAAAAGTGTTATGCCTCGCAAGACTACTTCGTCATCCGTGATGTCGCGAACTAGCCATATTTAAGTTAGGACTATGATCTCCAGCCTTAACTGGGAACTTATGTTTTTGATCTCTCCTACTTTACCTCTTGGTTTAACTGCGTTCATACAGATGCACTTCGAAGTATTTCTCACCACCAGATGCTCCTCTGAAGAGCATGTGACGACTGGTATTTTAAGTAGGTCTGATAGGACTAGAGAGATTATTAATAGAGCCTTACCAGACGGTGAAGAGCCTCAGTCATGTCCTCTTCGTTTTTGAAGCTTGTAGCCAGCGGACAACGTGATTTACTGTTCTCGAGGTGTGACAGACGAGGAGACCTGGGCATTCTAAACATCGTCTATGTGTGAATCTGTAAGATTATGGTCTAAGTTCATTATTAGTACTGCTCTAATCGTAGATCTATAATGATGTGACTACCTAATCTATAAGATTTTACATAGAAACCATATCTTCTACACTAAATTATGGTATCGTGGCAATTAGCAACTTGATACTTGGTACTTCTGAAGAGCACATCTGGACTTAAGATAGAATAATATATTTGAAGCGAATAAAAATAGGTTGTACGGAACAAACGCGTCTGCGAGGCTAAGCCATGTCATCCGCGTTTACTAATGTTGAATGTGTACTTTCCCAATTATTTCATGTTCAGCTTGTGGACCAATACTACTACAAATCACCATGTTATGCGACAGCCAACCACACTGTTGTATGTCGTGTTCCGAACTTCATCCGGACTGTCGATTTATAGCCCAGGTACTCGTTAGCCACCATATTGGTTGGTTCTTGAGTGTATTCTGATCTTTTCTTAGGCTCCATGGTTTGTTGTATTTAACTTGCGTTTGTAAGAAACGTTTAATTGATGGTTCTCAGATGTCAGTAAGATTTTTCTGTAAAATTTACTGAAGCAAAAGTTACCCTTAATTGAAGGGATTTACCTCTCACTAAATTTTTGGCCTTATAGAGGTGGCCAAGTATAGCTGGAATGGTACCAATCATTGACATTGTACAGTATTTGTTCTATTGTCCTTTATTGAATATTGCCACACAACCTTGTAAGCTACTCCCCGACAGTGGGATATGAAATAAAGTCATGGAGATTTGTCCGACGTCTTCACCCCCTAATTTTTAGCGTTTTGAGATCTATATCATCGCTATTTCCCTCCTCAACCCCCGCGCGCTGCTTCTTACTGTGAACAAATAATGGGTTATATACAATTGTCGGTATTTTTATTGATGTGTGACTTGGTGTTGCGCCTACCACAATCGCGAGTTTGGTTCTCCTGTGTTGGACGAACTAGTTATGTTGATGAAGATTGCCGGGGTCATTTTTGATGCATTTCAGTACATTTCCTCTACACTTTGGGCGAATGTATCAAAATCATAAAGGGTTTGACCTAACAAGAACCCACTGTATTACCCAGGTAGTGTTGCATCAGAGCGGCATTGAACCCAGTCACCACAGAAATAAAATTTTAATTCTGGGTCACCGAATCTACCGGGCGACGAGAATGCCATACAAATAGCATTCTTGTGTCGTTTCTCTTCGGCAGGATGCGTTAGGGGTACTTTGTCATACCCTTTTATCCTATTTCCCCTCGTCTTCCTAGAAGTGGGAACTTTGGTGGGAGTATGATCCTGGTTACTGATATGAAGACTCAGTGTTTGTGTTTGAGTTGGGTGATTCGTGTTATACACATTGCTGAGAGGCTCATTATGTGTCTTCACCTTTCTTGTACTCTGGTTGTTATGGGCAGAAATTTTCGACTCATTACTATTCTTCTAATTAGATCTCTGCCACTAATTATCGTCCTCTTAGTTATAGAGTAATTATTGTTGTCGATGCTTTTGCTGTGCATTTTCCTTAGTAGATTAAAACGTAACATGTGCCAACATTTAAAAACGAAATGGGCAGGACGAAAGTTTTGAACGTGAGATATAAAAGAATAAAATAACATGACAACTTCTAAGAAATATACCAAGATCCTTCCTGCGAGACTCCCGAGAATTTGTTTAGACCACTTCAACTAG